GGCACGCTCCCGTCACGTTCGGCGCCGCCGCCTTCGGGGAGGTGGGCGTCGCCGGCAACCAGCTGAGCTGCTGTTAGGAATCTCTCCTCTCGCTCTCTAGGTGTTTATCACAAACACTCAAGTTTCTGGCTAGTGACGCACGCACGCGCAAGAACTCAACAACACAGATAGTTTTGGTTGATGCGGCTTCACACAGCTCACACCATTTTCTTCATTATATAGACTTAAGTACATGCAAAAGATAAGGATCAGCCAACTAATTTGGCCTTGACTCACGCCTTACTCCAACGTGCAGATGCCATGCAACAAGGTAACTAGCTAGACCTATTCTTCCGCCACAAAATCACTTCGTGGCCTTCTAGCCTGAGCTGCAGCTCTGCATGCATCTTAACACATCCAACTAAATGCTTGCATGCAGCCGCTAATCACTAGTTCTACATGCTAATGCAACAGCCTTTACACATCGTAGATATCGGCACGTTCGTCCGGCCGCATCACGCAGCTCACAGCAAGCACGTTTCACACGTACTAGCTCGGATCCTTTGCTGCCACACACTACTACCTTGTGCAAAACCTATACAAACCAAATGCATACACTCTAAAGACAAGATTATTGCTAACAGCTGCGACGCGTCGATGTTGTTTGGCGCCAAGAAGAAGCTGAACGCGCTGCGGCTGTCCCGCAACCGGTTCGCGTTCGACCTCGGCAGCGTGGAGCTGCCCGAGGGGCTGGACATCCTGGTCATCGACCACAACATGGTGTACGGGAGCATCCCGCCGGCGGCGGCGGCGGCGGGGAGGAAGTGGCTGGCGTTCGACGTCAGCTACAACCAGCTGTGCGGGCCCATACCGCAGGGGCGGTACACGCACCGGTTCGGGGCCAAGCACTTCGCCGGGAACAAGTGCCTCTGCGACCGCCCGCTGCCGCCGTGCAGCAGCTAGCTTAAGCACGAACCCAGGCACTGCCCACTGATCGATTGGTTATTACGTAATTTGCGATTGTTGCTGCATCGCAGACATCCTTTTCCTCAATTTACTTTGAGATCATTAATCATCATTAATAAATTGTCAGTGATAAGCTGGCTTAGCCTAGAACGGCAAGATAAAGATGCGTTATATGCCTGGCCATGCTGTCCAGAATGTGTATTCAGAGGATTTGTGGTGCGTGCACTACTTAAAAGACGTTTTTTCACGGCGAGAGGCTTATACATTTTACCGGCGGACCATATTTTTAGCTGTGATTATCCATATATGAAGTTATCCCGTGAAAATAGATTTTAGCAGGTGGATAGCTTAAAGGAACCGCCTCTAATAATATTCCTACAAAAAATTAATTTTCACAGACGAACTACTAAGACGACTACCTTCAAAAACCATGGCCGAACAACCCACTAAAAAAAATCACCGCATCTGTCTAGTCCCCACGTCTCCACAACCACTCCCTATTTAACTTATCATCTCCTCTCTCTCTCTCACCATCACACCCTCTCCCTCTCCCTTTCCTAAGAGCGCGCAAGCCCAGGGGCAGTAGTGGTGGCTTGGCGAGGAGGAGGGCCACCAGCGGCGGTGGCTCAGCAAGGAAGAGCGGTGACGAGGAGGAGGGCCCAACGAGGAGAAGGAGGGCCAGCGGCGACGGCGGCTCGACAAGGAGGAGCGCCGATAAGGAAGAGGGCTAGCGGCAGATCGGCTCCTCCCCTCCCCTCCAATCCCACCGGCGGCGGTGGCTCTGCGACGAGGAGGAAGGGCGGCGGCTTGGTAGAGACGACGATGACCATTGTGCGCGGCAAGGGCAATGGTGACCACACTGCAAGGGCGATATACAACGACGGCGACTACGCGGGAAGGGCGATGTCGGCAGTTTCTATAGCTCCTTTGCTGTTTTCTTCCTCTAGATCTAGCTCCATAATTTCTTTTTTTTCTAGATCTAGCTCCATAATTTCTCTTTTTTTTTCTCTTTATTTCTGTGGAATATGTTAATCTTGTTCTTCTCATTTGTAAGGTAACATTTGATATGTGACTTGTTCTTCGCAATTGTGTGGTGGCATTTGATTTGATTTACATTGTGCTAAATATGTGTAAATGGCAGCTAAATGGGGATATTTTCAAATGTTTATTTTTTTAATTTATTTCCCAAAATTATGTCTGTAGGCGGTCGGCTTTAGGTGCCCATCTGCAAAATCACATTTTCACAAGTTAACCGCTTAATGGAGCCACCTGCGAAAATAATTTTCATAGGTGGACAAGAGCCCTGACTGCAAAAATCGTTGATTTTCATAGTCCTTCAGGTGCAGGCGTGGGTTTTGGCCGCCTGCAAAAATATTTTTTTTCTAGTAGTAACGCAAGCTAACATATGTCATCTTAATACTGATGTAAAATATTGTAAAATATTTTTTATTGTACCTGTATATAAAATTTTAAATTCAAATTCATAATGGTTTAGTAGTAACAAAAAGCAGAAATACAGTGGTTTCAGAATATTAACTTGACAGAGTTCTTTCTTTTTCTTTGGCTGCTCTTATGA